TTACATTATTGATGTTTTCCGGTAAGAGCCGGAACAGATGACATAGACTGTATTTCATTAGGTATTCACAATTCTTATGCATTATTTATCCTTATTTGACGTTAGAATAATAAGAAATCCAAGAGCATTATGAGCATCATATTGAATAGTCATAATAGTACAGTGAATCATTACGTTCTTGTTCTTTGTCATCGTTAAATAAACATGATCACTATGTTATGTTGTATCTCTTGCTGGAAATCAATGTCTGTTATTTGTATTTCTTGTACTGGAAAGTATCCCATATCGTACGATTAATTAATGTTAACTTTGTATTTTGAAGACGAGTCCCATGTCCTCGAGACAAAGTATGCCCAGATGAGGATTCTGTATGGAATATCGTGAAGGGACATCAGTTTACATATGTTATACAGGACTTCTGGCAACCACGATTTTGGTACATGAGCTTAGTGGCGTGTTATAGGAACAAAACAACTTGCCAATGGGAATATTATAGCAGGCACGACGAATTGGAATATGACATCTGGCTAGTAAACGGCAATCCGAACGTCAGTGGCCTAAACAGTCTGACTTATCAGTTCTCATATGACAGACAGAATACCATTGAACTATACTTGCTGTTTTTTGTGTGTTACATCATATTGGTGCCACTGCAGTTGTATGCAGTAAGATTGCAAAAGCATCCTGTTACAAGATTGTTCACTGCAAGTTTATTATTAGAATTTGTGGCAGTATGTTTAATCTTGATACACGTATTGAAATTTGCATTAGATGGAATAGGCTATGAGCAATTAGAAGTTGCAGGTGATATTTTTGATATTCTCTCACGGGTAAGGAAAACATCTCGTGAATTATTCAAATATTATTAAATTTGTTCAAATATTATTAAATTCAAGTAATAATCTAACGTTTCTATACAATATGTAGCCATACTTTTTAATCTTTTTAAATTTATTTAAAAATGTATATATTTTTTTAGTATATTTATTTTTCATGTTTTTAATGTATGTATATACAGGATTTCACACCATCAAATATATTAATAATGTATTCTGATAGATTAAAAAATTCTAATACAAAAATGTTGAAGCCATAATTATTATAATGATTTTTTTAATTATAATCCATCAAAGAATCATTAATATTGCTTATTATTCGTGCGATAAGATCCATAAATCAGTATTCAGTTGGTATTTAGGACTGTCTTAAGTACAATTTTAAGATGTCATAAACTAATGCCGATATTTATATTCACAGTCGGTTCTTATTTTAAGACCATCTTAAGTAATGTCTTGAGATGCTAATACAGCTTTATGATTGGCTTAAGACGGTCTTAAAGATAAGTATCTACTATGAATACTTTTTGGTGTTATTTTCACGAAACTTTAATTTTAAATTATTTTTTTTTCTAGACGTCCTTTATGTTATTGTTACTCTTACTTGCCAAAGGATGGGCGGTAACAAGAATGGAATTAACATGGAAACCACTGGTGTTTGCAATATGGTTTTGTTATGGGGTTGTGCACATTTTGTTATATGTATGGAATATGGTAACTATTTCTCTATTCTTTATATATCTTATTTATAAATAATTGCAATAAGTATAAACTCTTTTTATTATGAATTAATTTTTTCAGACAGAAGTTGATATTATTGAAGACATAGATGAATATCAAACTTGGCCAGGATGGTTTATATTGTTATTCCGAAGTGCCATAATGGTATGGTTTCTATATGAACTTCGAAACACCATGACATACGAGCATAATACTCAAAAATTGAACTTTCTTCTTCACTTTGGTGCATCGTCATTAGTTTGGTTTATATATTTACCTATTATAGCACTTATAGCGCTTCAAATAAGCGCACTATGGAGGTTTAAACTATTGTTAGGTGAGTAAAGTTTGTAAAATATTGAAATTAATTTTCTTCAGCTATATTTTCTTCAGTTATATTTTGTACTTAACGCATTGTCAATTTATAGGTATAACATATTCGGCAGACTGTTTTGCTTATTGTGTAATGGCTCATTTATTATGGCCCACCAGAAGTGAACAATATTTTTTACTTGCGCAAGGCGCGGATAATGGTGATGAACTTGATGAATTCAACGAAGCGCCGCATGTATTAAATAATTATGTAGAACCGCCGGAACTCGGTAAAATAATTACTTAATATTCGTCCATTGCAAATATAAATATTAAATTGATGACATTTTTAATTACAAGTGATGTGATGTACATTTGCCAAACGTCAATCTAATAGTACTCTAATATGTGCTACAGAACTGAAATATTGTGTACATCCTATAATTAGGGATATATCAAATTTGTCAAATTTGGCCATGTGATATGAAATTAATAGAAATTAATAGATACAATAGAAATAAATGAGTATGATATGAGTATATGCTATGAACAAACATAATTTTCAATTTAATATATAAATTAATAATCGACAGTATTAATTATATCAGCAATTTTATATCTACAAGTCACAACACATAATTATTAAGTATCTTTATCCATTCAAGAAATATATACCTTTATAACATTAGTTCATATTCTTACATATTCAGACAATTACTCATATGATTATTACTCACATTTTTGTTTATATAAATACATAATTTGTAATATTTATTTTTAAACTATATTTTACTTACTCATATCATATTCATATATCTATCTAGTGTTAATTTTTGTTTATTTTCATCATTTTGATTTTATAAAAAAATTGATTTTATAAAATTGATTTTATAAAAATATTGTATATGTAAAAAAACCTTTTAACAAAGTACATTTTTTATGCTATTGTTTAATTTCATTATCTTGTAATTATTTCATGTCTACTCTATACTAAGAATATTACAATGTGCACTTGAATAAGAATGGTAGAAATGAAATACTTACATAACTTTCGTAAATTTGATTCTATCAATAGTTGAATGGTTTAAAAATTGTGTATGCGATAATTGTATATAAAAGTCATACTGATTTATATATATTAATAGTAGATTTATCAAGAATTACATAATGTTCCAAAATTATCTGATATATTGTACGATAAATTTTTTTGTCATTTTTAATATTAGCCAATAGTTGAATAATTAGCGATTTAAAAAAAACAATCAAAACTTTCAGTTAATTTTAATCGAATTTTAGTAAAAAAATTGAAAGTTTGTTTTAAAAAGTATTAGAAATTAAAAGGATCCATTAATTAATGAACTTCTATAATAACTAAGAAAAAATGATTTATAAATTGGATAAAGAAGCTTAATTTAAAAAAACAATATTTTTAGTATGTTTTACATGAGAACATTTTCATATTTTGTTCAAAATTTTATAAAAAAGATTTGATCTTTCAAAGTATGTAATTTAAACTATCATCATTCATTCAGTTTTGTTATTAAATACACAAATAATGATCACATACACAAACATGGAAAATGAAAGAGCACCTATATAACATTCTTCCGATTTTATTCAAGTAAGTTTACATGTTAGTTGCACATTGTTGAATAAGTATAAGTACTTTATACAGAAAATTGAAATATGATGTCGTACTATTATTGCTCAATCTTGTAAGAACTTAGATAATATGATTGTGTATGTATAATCTCTTGAGAATATTTTAATGATCCGTATATGTATATTTTATGGGATCTCTTGAGAATATTTTAATGATCCATATATGTATATTTTATGGGATCGGTAAAATCTTTATGATACATTTATATTTTTAATATCCACTACAATCAAAGCAATTTAATACAATCTACTTTTTATTTCTTTATAATATTATCTATGTTCAAATTATATATGTTAAGTTTACTTTTTTGAAAAATACATTTAGACATGTTATACAGATTATGCTTCTATGAATGCCAGTGTGTCTAATATGTATATATATGTATATACAATTTATTTCCAAAAGTTGTGTGTCTTCAAATATGTGTTTTGAGATGTTTTTTGTAGATATATAGAGGAGGTAGTATTATAGCAAATATTTTAGTATAATGAAATTGTTATATCATGTCTCATTACAGTCCAACAAGTAGAAAAGATACTTTATTTAATTAATCTTTTTGCCAGATTAGGTAATGTATTGTACAACTTGATAATAATAATTGTTTTATATACCTGATTTAACTTTTTTGTATATTTGCAATTGATATGGACCTTTTCAATAACAAAAGCAACATTTGATTAAGAAATACAATTTATATTACAGTCAGAAATTATTTCTTTATTATATATGTGTACATAGTTCTTTCTTTCTTCTTTCTTCTTATATATTTATATTACATACACTATATAGTACTATATAGAACTTAAGGAACCTTATTATAATTACATATCTTAAAAGTATAGTTATATTTAATTTTGAAATTTTTATTTTATACAGAGAAATGTTTTTCTTAAAATTTTATTTAAAAATTATAATAATTCTTCATATACACATATAATGTTATTCTTTTAACATCATGAAATTATTTATCCTAGATTGTGAATGATGTATTTTGATATTAAAAAATTTGAATCAAATATTTTTTTGAAATTATATAAATTTATAATATTAAATTATGTTTTGATACAACATATAAAATTATAACAATTTTAATCTTGATGTAAGACTATCGATAGTTTCATTGAAACCAGGACCTATACCAACAACTGTTACTGTACCAGGCTTCAGTTGTGTTATACCAGCATCTTTTATTATGGCAGTAATTAAACCAGCGCGTTCAGCTTTACCTGCTAAGATCAACAGCTCTTCCTCGTTTGGTATTTTAACAACAATTTTAGGCTGTCCACATCGTAACCAGGATTCAAACATTAATTGCTTCTTTTTATTATTGAGGGTTTGGCGACAGCATTCTAAAGCAGCATGAGCACATTGAGCAGCAGTTTTACCTTTTCCCATAGGTAAATCTGATCGAACCACTATTACCATCTTACAGCTCTCTCCATTCCAAACAGGAGGTAGGAAAGATCTTATATATTTACTTATCGTTGACCTCATCTTTTTATAATTTTTTTCAATCAAAGTATTATTAATGTCTTTGTTCTTGCTGCTTTGTGTGTTTATCCATGCATTCCTTAAACTTTTTTACTTCATTTTGACACTTTCTCCAATCCTGATGTTCTGCTATACACTCCTGGAAAGTTATTTCATCAAATTAGTTATTAAATAAGAATATTATTAACACAATCAAAACATTTACTTTACAACAATCAATGAAATTAATAAAACATCAATGAAATTAATTTATATATTTAAAGCTAAAGTTAACTTATAGTTTTATATTGTTCTTCTAGAACTGAAATTGTAAGCAGTTAAACTTTAATTAAAATTTATATATCCGTTTCTATCAATGTAGATTAATTTTAATCTTGATTCAACTAATTCATCTTTTTCTAGTAAGAATTAAAAAAAGACGAAGAGTAAATTGAACTAAGATTAAAATTAATCTACATTGTAAAAACGAGTATTAGCCAGTTATAAGTAAACATACTTGAATTTGATAATGTAATTCTATGCAACCGGTTTTCTTTAACATTCGCTCAACAGGATCTTCAATTTCTTCTTCAGCACCAGTATTCGACGATACAGTCATTACGATATACCAATGTTTAGATGAAAGAAATTTGAATTATATCACTGAAACAATTCTTATTAATAAAATATTATTTTTAATAATTTCAACGAAATACACACACAGAATATCATAGAGGTTATAATTATTCCGTGTGCGAGTTATTTTTATCCGTCTGCCGGGTCTGCAGATTCGAACAGATTTGAGAACAATATCGAACAAACCCAAGTAAACTAATCTGGTTTATTAATTTCTGGTTTTTTCTGGTTAATTTCTAGTTTTTTTAGGAAAATTGAGAAGAATTATGCTCCATTTTAAATATCAACATTCATTACTACTGCTGTAAATTTCTCTAGCAAATAACAGAGTTTTGTTTCATTTCCATATCAAATTAACATATACTGATAATAGATAATTAAAAAGTTATAATTACATGAGTAATGCGTGATGTCCAACTTCAATGCGACGACGTGAAGTTATGCGCATATTAAGAAATCGATCTATTCTAAATATTCGCACATTTGTTAATTATTTGAGACACTATTATTGTTATTTTAATTATTTATTATTATTATTGATCGAAAATTGATATGCTGAATTACGAAAACATCTCTGATTGTTTTTTGAATCAATTTTATTCGATGAGCAATTAACATTGCGATGACAATTATAACGCGAATATTTAGTCTGAATTAAAGCACCTCTTCTACACGTGAAATTTGTATTATTCATGTAGAAAAAATGAATTTTTATTCGAAAAATGCTATGTTGCGCCACACATTAGGACTGTGAATTTCGATCAACTTCGATTAATTTAATTGTTGATCTTTGTTAAGTAATTTTGTTAACGTAGATAAAATTATTAATTTTCTTATTTAATATGTAGAAAATGAATGGATTAGGATCATCAACGGATTGTAACTAGAATTTTTTCTTTAAATAATATCGCTTATTAAATTAATTGAATTAATTAAGTTAATTGCAGTTTATTTGAACTTTTAGATTTCTATGAATTTAATTGACAATTAATTTTTTTACAAAAATGTTTATATTTCATAAATTCATTTTACACTTAATATCTGCATGCATAATTAATTACATTTGCGTAATTAGTTGACATAAATAAATAAGTAATAGTTGACATAAATAAATAAGATTTTCGTGAAATTATTTGCTTTGTGTATATTATATATGTGTATATTATATATGAAGAGTTTTGAAATTACAATAAAAAGTAACAGACATTTGTAGTTTCAATTAAACATATATTTTTAAACCATGAAATTTGATCGACATATCAGCTAAGTTCACGTGAATAGATGCGATGATACGGCGATCGAGACGCCGCCGGCGCTTGACCGTCAGAACTATTCGATTGCGTGAAAGTAAAAACCAACGCGTGTGACGGCTACAAGAGATCACGGAACAACCAGCCACTCCCGATTTGCGTGATTTTCAGAGGTATTTATCAAAAGAAGGCAAAACGGTTTTGTCGCGCGGGTGTAGCCTCATCTTCGCGCGAAACATTCGACGATTCCCGACGGCTACGACGCAGCGACGTGCGGCTTTTGCGGCATCCGCGCTATCCTCCGAGGATAGCGCGGCACCGCCTTTCTCGATTACTCATATTACACTCCGCGACAACCTCCGGCGGCTCTGGCCTGTCTTGTTCCAACCAGTGTCGTTCGATAAACGCGACGATTCAGGCGCGGTGATTTATTGCTGTGATTCTTACGTGTCTCGTCGCAATTATTTATAATATATTTGTCCGTATATCAGAAACTTTCGCGCGAATGAGATAACGAAAAGAAAAGGAACTGGAGTAAATTAAAGCACAGTCACAATACAAGGATATATAAGTCTTTTGAAGTATCCTTCTAGTTTCTTTCGTTTTCTCCACATGTCTTTTAAGTATTTCTCGTTTGATTATTTCACGTGAGCGAAAATAGCGGTGAATCTTGAAGAGGAACAGCATGTGCTGAGTGGTAGGCGTATAATTTATTTTGATTAAGTAAGTTTCCTATTCTTCTTTTCTCTGTTTAATTTTGTCACTTCTTTGACAGTAGCTTTTTTTTTGACAGTAGCGTCTCCAAAATATTATATTTTTTTCTTTCTCTTTCTACGTGATATTACTTGCTATAATACTAAAACCAACTATTATATTTCTTACTTATATAGTGTTAATATCTTGATTATTATCTATATATATAGAATGTTTATATTTATTGAAAAATATTACTGAAGTATAGAATATAATTCATAGAAATATACAAATACTAGAATAAACTTATAACTAAAGGCAAAATACAAATATTAGAAGTTTTCTGTTTTTATTGATATCCTGATATGTTAAATTATCTGTTTTAAATATAGACAATATGTCACAGATTTGTATGATATATAAAACATATGAGAACACATACATGTATGAAACTATACTTAGTCTTAGATTTCTCACACTGACAATGTAATTCTCACATCCTGCTATTGTTACTTCTGCTCTGCTTTAATTAAGATAACCATCAGAAAGAAACCCCTATTTTGAAGAAGTTGCAGAAGATATATATACACAATGACAGTTTTGTTACAGTTATCATCAGTAATGGGAAATATAGATTTCTGTAAAAAAATAATACAATTAATAATAAATAAATATGAATAAATGTCACAAGTATATATATGTTTATATTTATGTTTAAAGTCTGAATATTGCAAGCGCAAAGTTACTGTACATTTTTAAGATATGAAAAATATATTTAGTGACCACTTTATCTTAATTGAAGGTAATTATCTCAAAAATGTCGAAGAAACCAGGAGCTACCCAAGCAATGCATAAGGTCATAATGGTTGGAAGTGGAGGTGTTGGAAAGTCTGCTCTGACGTTACAATTCATGTATGATGAGGTAAAATAAAAAAACAAAATAACTTAAATATATTTTAAACATAAAAAATGCTCGTTTATTGTTAACAAAGAAACATGTAATTTTTACCAAGTATTTAATCATTAGATATCGGATTCTTGTGCAACTTCATATTTATTTAGAAAGCAGTTTTGGAAAGTAACATCAAAATATAAATTTTTCTTATTAAAAAAGCATTTAAAAAAATACATATTTTTTTATATATATTGTGCATATTTGTGCAAATTTGTATATTTTGTATGTCTACAAAAAATATCTGCATAAAAATCCAATGTCTACTAATGATAAACGTTATTATACTTTAAGCATTTAATTTTTAAGTATTATTACATTAGAAAGATATTTCTGATAATTTTAATCATAATATTAAAATCAGTTTGTTGAAGATTATGAACCTACAAAAGCTGATTCCTACAGAAAGAAAGTTGTATTAGATGGAGAAGAGGTACAAATAGATATCCTAGATACTGCAGGACAAGAAGATTATGCAGCGATTCGTGACAATTACTTTCGTAGTGGGGAAGGGTTTCTTTGTGTATTTTCGATAACAGAAGATGATAGCTTTCAAGCTACACAGGAATTTAGGTCAGTAAAATTTGTCACTAGTCAGATAAAATTAATCACAGTTTTATGTTATTGGAGAAAATTTTAATATATGGCAATTAACTGATTATAAATGTATTATTTGATCATTCCATGAATAGAAAAAAATCTGTTTTCTTTTCTAGAGAACAAATTCTCAGGGTAAAAAATGATGAGAACATTCCATTTTTATTAGTGGGAAATAAAAGTGATTTACAAGAAAAAAGAAAGGTTAGTTTAGCCGAAGCTCAAGCAAGATCTCAACAATGGGGTGTTCCTTATGTGGAAACAAGTGCTAAAACAAAAGAAAATGTAGACAAGGTAAAATGCTGATTATGTATAATTTTTATTTAATTTTATTAAATGCTACATATATATAATAAATATTTTATATGTGTAATTTTTTCTTATATATCAATATTGTCTTTATTTAAAAAAATAATTGTGATATTACTTTCTGATTATGATTTTTTCTCTATTTCATTTTTAGAAAATAAAAAACTTGTGGGATTAACTTTTTTATTAGCTTTGTGGTAGTATTGTTAAATTAGATGTTTTACTACAGAACACTTTATCTCATTAAGCATATTCTACATACATACATACATACATACATACATACATACATACATACATACATACATACATACATACATACATACATACATACATACATACATACATACATACATACATACATACATACATACATACATACATACATACATACATACATACATACATACATA